TTGCTCTTATATTGACATTTCTCGATCACAACCACCATATATCATTATTTATCTGTTAATTCGATGACCGGTACAATTGAATTTGGCGTGGTTTGAGAACGGGAGCGACTGTTGGCTTCTCTCTGGACATTTAATTGGGCTCGCTTGTTTGAGTTCTCTCAGCCGCATATTTGAGGTTTGCTTTATTGTGCATTTTGTAATGATTTCGTTAATTCAGTAGCGTAGAACATTGCGGATCAATTGTGTTTTTACTTCGGGATTCGTATCGATTCGGCCACGCGTCACTCATGTGCAAAGTGGTTGACGTACACCCACCGAATGAGCCACTTTTAGCTACGAATATCTGAAAACAGGGTAAGGGTCATCGAAAGACAAAATATTAACTTGATAGGAGTGCCGCTCATAGACTCCTGATTATAAATCGGGAAGAACCTCTCATTATGGAGTCTTAGGCCCGAAGTGACATGGATAGATGGTGAGTGTTCGGCGTACGGCCAATAGAAGGGGTCTCAATCCGCGTCTCTTGAATGGGTCCACCGCGTTTGTTCATAGAAACCCCAGCAGGCGAACTCCGGGACGCCCATGGCGCGGTTTATAGTGAGGCCGTTAGGAATAAATTGTTAGCCAAGGCAGTATCAATCACCTAGATAACGAATGGCAGGATTGGCATCAAGCCGGATGAGGCATTGAGAACTATGCTCAGAACACCCAGACTACGAACCAAAGATACTCATTCAGCTGGCAAAGAAAGCAAGGCCCAACACAGGAAGGTTGTTTTGCCTGGACGAATTCCACAACCCGTGGAGCGCCAACCGGTGACGACCGCTCCAAAGGAAGTAGTTGTTATAGACAACTTACTGGAGGACACTACTTTGGTAAACTGTGACCAATCAAACGACGACGTGGTGGGAAGCAACAGCAAAGATTTGAGGGGTACAGTTCTAGCAACCCTCATTAGAAGAGACTTGGACGCCACAATCCGTCCGAGATACCAGTCAACACCGCACTTTATTGTAAAATCTCAGCATTCCCTCGGGTTTAGTTCCCGAGACACCGAAAAACCTACGTATTATAGGAAACGAAGGGCGAAAAACGGAAGAAGTGGTGTTATATACCAACAAGTGCAGCATACGTAACAAATGGATGGGGCTCTTTCAGGTGGCCACGGAATGCGGGGCAGGGGTAGTTCCAGTCACCGAAACTTGGCTATCTAGAAATGACCACGTACCCCGAGTCTTTAAGGGCTCCATGCAATTCGCAGTCAGGATAGAGAGCATGACTGTCTGGGAGGGGAGTAGCCATCTTCATTAAGGAGTGCATAAGTCACCTCCAATCCCAGGTGAGAGTATGCACGAGGAATCTTCAAGTATGCAGTGTCACACTG